CTGCAACAAGGTAAAATGGTGTTTGTCTTTATACAAACTTTGAATACAATTTTAGGATACTGCTGTTCGCATAGGGGACGTGTATGCCCTTCTGGTGGAGTTCTATGTCAGTGAAGGCAATATGACACATGTAAAGTCTACTGAAAATTAAAAAAGTGCCACATTAAGACTTTTAAGTGCAGGCCTACGATTTGATACTAAAAATGAAACAAAGACATATTGCCATTGATTTTTATGTGGATAAACAGATAATCGACAACGTTTACAATGTGAGAATTTAATTGTATGTGCAAGCTAACTAATAATGGTTTTCTTCAGGCCCTAGGAATAAATGATTCAATATTTCAAGAGGATATGATTTCCAAGTAACTCAGAAAAGCTATCGTAGCTCCAAGAGAAACTTCTACATATGATGATCATAAAATTATGATTCTTTTCAGGTAAACCTGTGAGGTATAGAGAGTGCTTAAGAGATATAAGCAGAAGAAGAGGGCGTTAAGGTCAGAGCCTCAATAAAAATCTGTCACACAATATTTTTTCTCTTTCTATCCAATATGTTTAGGACAAAGTAGCTGAGAACCCAACTCTGCTGGTGGGAGTAGAAATTTTGATTATCAACCTCTGTATTTAGAAGGATGGAGAAAAATAAATTCAATTTAAGAAATTAGTAACATGCAAGCTGCAATAACCAAGCTTCAATTGCTTACACCTTAACCATGCCAAAACAATGTTGTTACCAAAAACCAAAAAAATAGCCCTTGATTCTACTGCTACTCTATGAGTCAGAATAAAGATCCAGCAGCTCAAGAACAGAAGTGCTCTTCCCCTTTTCCAAAGTGAAACGAGGAAAAGGAGCCACATAAGAAAGAGCAGCATTCCTTTTTCATTCAGGTATCTACAAAAGGATTTTTATGCCACTGCACAAGAAACAATATTAGTAGACCTCCAGCAAAATTCAATAGCTCAACTCGCAGCTTCTAGAGTAGGTTTACTATAGCTTTGGGCATGACGAAGATCACCAATGTGTTCTGTCCAAAACCTCACGAATAAAGCCTTTGAACACGCAATACAACGCTCATTTCAAAGGAAAAGCTAACACTGAATTTTGAACTTTATTACAGTGACAGTATATAAGAATTTTCTGAATAGATGATTTCAACTAATATGAGTACGTCCAAGCCATAAAGTGAAAAATGGCAAATTCACCCATTGGTCCATGTGTCACTTACATCATCTTCTTTCTCACAAACCATGGCAATTCCAGCTGCAAGGTGTGAGAGATTTCAAGGGAGAAAGAGGTGTTTGGACGTCAATTCTCATCTAAAGGACCACCTAAAACTTTATAACCCCGCGTCCAGCGAGATTAACACCACCTAGTGCAAAGTGCGAGAGTAACCCTGCTTTGGCGAGATTAACACCGGGGACAGGGAACTATCCCTCCAGTAGTTTTGTTAAGGAGAGGGATGCCCTCCCCAAACTCACTAAATTTGAATGAACAAAATAAAAATGGGAAAAACAAACATACTCTTAAGTTTTTTTCCAGGAACTAGTTCTAGATACTGGCTTGTTCATTTGAATTTTTCCATTTGAACTTTTCCAAGGGGAGATGCAATGAATCTATTAGAGGCGCTGGAGCAATCCGAGGTATGATCCAAGCAGATCCTAGAGGAGCAGATTGCGATGTTCAAGCTGCTTTAAACAAGTGGCATTCCTTCTGACTATGCTTGATCTATATCGCCATCACTCTTCTTGTAAGTTATTGACTTAGTTTCTAGTCTAACATTTCAGAAATCTTGGAAAAAGTCTCAAAGTAAAGAAATGGAGAATCGTCTAGAAATCCTTTCTCCTGCTGCCTCATAGATTTCTGTAATGGAGCACGGCTTGTCAAGTAAAGTGAAATCACCAGTGAGGTTAAGGTAAGTAAGCACCCCATTTTCTATCTTTATGGGGTAAACTTAGATTAAATTAATTTCTTACTTTTCCCTTCTTTTTAGTTTCCAGTGTTAGCGATATTTTGGACACATGCCATGAGAATATGATTGATTTGTATAGCTCTCCACCAGATCACAGTCAATCAAAAGCTTGAGCGGACAGATATCTGGCATTATTATTATTATTATTATCATCATCATCATCATCATCATCATCATCATCATCTTGGTTAAATTTTCTTGTCAGCCACGTTAAATCATCCAGAGTGAGTGTCAGCTGATTTATGCCACATCAATTTTCTGGATCAATCATGCCAAACCATGAATTCTCCCATCTGGAACATCTTGCACTGGATTTTTTTTTCAACAAGAGGGATTTCAACCTGTATGAGAAAAGGAGAAGCTCTAAGTTACATAAGGATTAACAAGAATAATACAACTAGAGCCACATCCACTTCCAGAGGTTTCAAAGCTTAGAAATGCCAATGCTGGGAATGGTGTGCTTACTCAAGACGTGTTTAAAGTAGGGACAACCTTCGCAAATAAACAAATAATATTCACTGCTGCTAGCTCTTCCAAGTATCAAGTGATTATAATCTTCTTGGTTTAGTATAAATCCAAGATTTTTACAGCAGGAATTTAAGAAAGTGCTACAAACTTTGCACCATTGAGTAGAAAATGAATACAATGAAAATGACTAAATGATACAATCTAGCTCTTAAAAAATAACTTTGAGAACTTTGGTGAAGGAATTCTTGAGCACTTATTTTTCATCTTTTTAGTTTTGTATTAAAAAATACGGCTACTTATTGAAGAGAAAGGCTCCGCTCCATTGTTAATGGAATGCAAGAATAACCTCCACATTAATGAAAGATGACTTGTTTCCCCTTTAATATTGCCTATACTCAAATGAAAACAAGAAAACAAGCCAAAAGATTATAATACCCATCACTGCATCTATGCTCTAGAATCTGTCAACTTTATAGCCTTCTTCCATTATCAACCCTTCTCCACCACAATCTTTGGATTCAAGTGTATGGCTACAATGCC